GTCTACTTGGTGCACCATGTTATATAATGAAGAATTAAATATCATGACATCAGCTGTGATCCAGTAGAACAAGAAATATTTTTATTTGTATAAATTGACCGCATCCATTGGATGCTAAAGTAGCTATAATAAAAATTGCATCAAAATAAACTTTTGATACAGAATGTCACATTTTATTGATTCATTTAATTTGCAGGCTCTGTTATGAGTAAACTTTTTTGCTACCATGGTTTTCAGTTATACTTAATAAGTTTAAAGTAAAATTAGTTTCAAGTGAAAAAAGGAAAAATAAAAATATATTAATTGGCATAATCCATGCTAAATAAATAATTTAACTTAAATTAAACAACATTAATTGCTTGACCAAGCTTGGACAATATTGCTATAAGCCTGACTCACACAGCCTTGTGCGTCAGAAATTTATTTTTAATATTATACCTATTTGAAATATGTGAATTTTTCATGACAGAGTGAGCTACCCTATGCTATAGATGGAATTTCATACTTATGAGCTGTTTTGGCGTCGTATTTCAACCTGATATATTCTGCAGTTCCATATCTTTTTGTAATTTATGGGATTGAGTAGAGTCTTTATTTTTTAATTGTTCTCTCATTAGATATTGCAAAATAAAAAGAACAGTATATCTCAATATTATTAAGAAAATATTCAGGATGCTTTTAAAAAGTGTAAGTGTAATTAGCCTGAAATCATTTATACAATTTTTGTTCAGTCACTTTGAAAACTTTGATGGCATGTAATTATCATTAATATTCAGTGGGATGAATTTTGTGATCAGTTTCCATTCCATAGCCCAATGTCATACGGTTGGTTTAGTTTGTAAGCTTGTGTCTTCCATTAGCTTTTCTCCCCATCTTTGCTAAAAGGGTTCTAAGGAATCTATCACTTGCTTATCTGTTATATTAACTACTAAACAAAACTAATGTAACATTTTATGATTTTTCTATTTGTGGCCACTCACATTTATATGAAATCATGTGGACACTTGAGTCAATTTTCCATACCACTGCAGAATATATGCAAACTTAATTTTGTTCTAATTCTCATTACCTTTTTCTCAACATGGTGAACATGTACATTGTTTGAGTTTTGTTCTTATGCCATTGCAGTCTCAGTTCCTGTTCCAAAGGAAGGATGTGAGATAGAGAGAGTAGGGAGTAACTTTAAATATTACTGGTATTCATGCATATATTCTGTGTCCATTTGTCATTGTGATATATACTGGTTTCCTTCCAGTGAACATCAACAGAAAAACTATTTACACATTTGGATCCTGTTTTCTTGGAGATATGGATTTCCCCCAATTCTCTAATTTATTATTCTATATTTTGACTCCAAGGGTATTATTACCTCATATTTTTAGTGCATGTTATCATGTATGATTAATTCATATTCACTGATGGCTAATATCTGTTGTATAATTTTGCTTCATTTTTATTTATCCTTGTTTTTTACACAGGTTTTCTGTTATGATTATTATTCTTTATGGTTTGAATTCTTAAGTAAGAGCTTTGCTGCTTTTTGGAAGTGATCTAAAACTGGCTCAGCAGTTTGTGACAGAATTGTGTTTCCACTGATTGTGTAAGAAGGAAGAGATCATAATCTAGGTGTAAAGTATAATTCATGAAGATTTCTCATAAATAGTTCTATAGAGACAGTTTTTTTTAATAGAAGCACATATACTGGAAACACTCTACAAGTTGTTTTTAAGATTTATTTTTTTATTTTTTGTTATAAGCTATTACTGATCAATAATAGGAAATATATTTTTAATTTTGCATTATGATTTTAATCAATGTATTTACAAATCCCTACAGACATGTGGCAATTTGATATTTAGAGTGAATAATCTGTGGCAATCTATTATAATCAAAGAATGATAACCTTTATATATTTTGAATATATCAGTTTGAATTAAACCCTCAGATTTAATTACATAGTTCTAATACAAATTGAATTCTATGACATTTTAATGTGACTGCAGCATATTATACCGTAAGTATGTGAGGTATTTTTAAAAGCAATGTTATATAAGAAAACATTTTTCCTGAATATTTTGTGTCAAATAAGTTGGCTTTTTTCATCATCCAAAATTCTCTGGCAGTAATTATAATACACATTTTATTGTTACCACATATGGCAATAATATTAGGGGATCCGTTTTAATATGCATTCACTCAAAGTAACATTTGTGGATATAAAAAAAGTCTTTGGCATGCATGAACAATGTTCTTTTATCCTTTGTTGCTATAAGAGACTTTGGACATACATATCATTTTGAATAAAACACATGTTCTGTGAAGCAAAGCTCTGGTGGCAACCTGTAGAGGGCTCCGCAATACCATCTTTTGCATCTAAAGTTGCTTGAAAGAAGGGGGAAGGGATTTTGTTTGGTAAACAGGCAAGGTAGATATTTCAGTAAGAAGTACATATAACATAGTTTCACAGTTTTGTACAAGTAACAAGCATGATTTTACTTAACAAATTTATAGAAATTAATTAAATACCAATATATGCATTTTCCCCACTTTTTCTTTCTATCATTTTAGGTATGATGATTGTTTTAAACTTTTAGCAAATGGTATGTTGAATTTCTTCTGATTTGTTTTTTCAGTTGTAATTTGTTTGATTTAGTAGCAATGAATTATTAATTTTAATTTTTATTTTTACAACAGTGCTGATACAACAAATGGAGGGGAAAAACAGTTTTCTTCTCTATTCAAGAGAAAGTGCATTCTGATTCGGAAGGGATGTGCTTTCCTATCTGCAGTCTCTTATTTCCTTGAGTTACTGAGGAGGAAGTAGAAAAGAGAAGAATTTACCCCTTCAAGGGCACCAACAGATCTCTTTATAAAATGATTTTAGCACTTACAGATGATGCTGTTTTTTATTTTTATTGTTCTATATTCTCAGCAACCCACTGGGTCGACGTATGAAAATCTGTCATTATTTCCTTTTCAAATCATTGTTCAAATGTTATTGTTAAATAGATATTTATGTACATGCATTTCTACATGTAAGTATAATTCAAATCTAGCATTAGAGTCAAAGAATTCTGATTCACTCTCACCAGTGGAAAGTCAATGGAAATTCCTTTTTCTCAGCCTAGCCCATCTCACAATCTGTTGTTGTGAAGAAAAATAAGGAGAAGAAGCATGGTGCATGATTTGAGTCTTTGAATGACTTGGATGAAAAGAGATAACAATAACAACAACATGCACCTCCATCATATAATAATTTCATCTCATACCATACATTTTCATAATACCATACATTTTCAACAAACTTCTAAGTAAATATCAACTTATAGATATTGTAATATATTGTAATAATTTCAAAGACCAAAGAGTGTAGGACAGTAGTCTTTAGTTTTTAAGATGAAATACGGTCCTAATAACCCCTTAATGCCTGGCCATATTGGGTCTAATGAAGAAAATTGTCAGATGTGTGGAAGATAATATTGTAGTAGATTGTCTTTATGCTTTGTGAGATATAGTTATTCATTTCCTCTATCCTGAAGATAATTGATATATCAAAATTCAAATAATCAACTCATCTTTCATTTTTTATTCCATGAACTGGAAATCCACTAATTTCTTTTAGATCTTGAGAACTCCCTTAACTGATCTTCTTTTAGAATGGATTGTGAAGAAATCTGATCATCTACTAGAATGATGTAAAGATAACAACTTTCTATCCTAAAATAGCTTTCCATCCTAAAATTCAGTGTTTTCTAAACTAACTAAAACTAAACTAAAATAACTAAAAATAAAAGAATAAGAATTACAATATTTGTTTTTAGTAATGCACTAATTAAATCCTATATATCATGTCACTTAGTAAGAGCTGTGTAATCTGGGCTAAATTAAACAATTAATGATGTATTAAAAATATCTTTCAAATATAATTGTATTTTGTTGAAAAATACTCCCATACAACCTAAACTAAAGGTTTTTGAAGGGTTTTCTTTTATTGCTGTTTAGTGTAATAAGGTATCTGAACCATGATAAAAATGGGTTATGAAATGATCACATAAAACTATTTCCTATGATTTAGCAGTAAGCCATCAACTATGTATTGTTAGCAGCAAGTTTGGTTTGTAAATTAATGACCCAAAGCAAAAACAAAGCTGATGAATGCCCTAACAATCTAGCTGTTAAATGCTTTGAAAGTGAATTCTGAGATGGTAATTGGGGCATTAAATTGTACTCAATGGCTTTTATGCCTTTATTAAGCTTTTGAAAAATTAGCCAGGGCAAGCTTTATCCATTACAGAACATAAGACATTTATTTGGGTCCATGTAGTAAAGCATATGAACTTGAAACTTGTCAGGAATTGCTGACAAGTGTGGTAATTAAGTGGTAAAAACTGAACAAATGGTAGTTATCACTGGAAAAGAACGTGCTTGAAAATTTGTTCTAGTTTGGTTAAATTTAAAAAGAGACATTAGTAGTAAAGCTGAGAACTCAAAAAACTTTATTTATATTTCATACCTCCTAATCATCCACGTCCCCTAGAAAGGGGCTTTGAGTGTGTCAATAACATTAAGCATTAAAAACAACTTTTTATCCACCTTCATTATTTTTTTAATAAATTAGTCAATGTGGCAAACATACATAATACTCTTTCTTTCTATTTTCCCCACAATAAACAATTTTTTGAGGTGAACTAAGAGAAAGTGATGCCACAAACCACTCACTTTCAGCCAACAGCGTCAAGCTTGGGCAGTGAGCTGGTCATTTAATTCCTATCACAATGGCTCAACACTAAATTGGTTTTTAAAAGGCAGATCTTGCACTTGTGGGAAAACACTCCTTTAAAAAATTCCCTTATGCATCATTTAACAATATTTAGTTTACTAGGAACAAGAGGAGGTAAGAAATGAATAGCATAAGAATATTCCCATGTACTTGCACCAAATGTTACAGTTGCCAATGCATAGTAATTTTTCCCGTAATATTGGTATCGCTGCTTTTATAGGTTTATGACTGATGCTGCTCGTCGGGAACAGGAATCTCTCAAAAAGAAAATCCAACCTAAACTGTCCTTGACCTTATCAAGCTCAGTGTCCCGTGGGAATGTATCTACTCCTCCACGTCACAGCAGTGGAAGCCTTACTCCACCCGTCACACCTCCAATCACCCCCTCCTCCTCATTTCGTAGTAGCACACCCACAGGTAAGATAAAATGGATTTGATGGTTGTGGTACAAGCTTTAAAAGAAAAGCACCAAAAAATAGCAAATGAATCACAGTAAAGTTAGACCGCAAAAAGAATCAGCAATAGTAAATAAATGATAAATAAATTTAATTTTTTCTTCAGAAATAAATCTCATATGTATTATGGATTGGCTTTCTTTGCTGATGCAAAGTTGGTTTTTTATAGGCGTGATCTCTTTTTCAGATCATGTTGTCTTTTTATCTGTTTATTGCAGATGAAGAGGAAACTTATTATTGGCGATAAGGGGAAACAAGAACAAGTGTTGTTTCCTGAAAATAAATTAAGAAATTAAACAGGGAACTATCACAACCCTGTAGCAACAAAAGTAATGCATGAAATATGGGCTGAATATTTGTGAGTGTGTGAAAACAAATTGATATTCTCACTATAATGAGAGTAAGATGTTTTGTTAACTTTTTGTGAAATTAAGCAAAAATGATCCTATGTCACTTCTTCCTGTTTCAGAACCAATTATTCAACTAATATAGTGAAGGCCTGTGTCAGAAAAAAGTTTTAAACAGGCAAATCAATTTTAATATTCAAAAAATGTCTGAAAGGTTCACAATATGGATGTTACCTCAAAGAAGGCTCATTGCACAAGAGATCACAAGATGAAGTACTACCGCTAAATCTCTACCAAGTGTGTAGTACTTTCATAGGAGCCCTAGTACCACTATCCGTAAATAGTTTTGTATATATTATATGTATGTGGGCATGTGTGTACAATTTAAAACAGATTTTTGACTGTTCACAACATGAGAAACAATAATAACAATAAATGTAAAAGGTCAACAGTCAAAATCCACATATATCTATTATATTCTACTGGTAGATTACTGAGGTATATTCTAGATGACTGAATCAGACACTGAACACCCATTAGGAAATCTTGTTAATCTTAAGTTTCTTCTATGCAGGGTAGACGGAAAATATCCCTGTGTAATTCAGCTTATCTTTCTCCGACAGTCATAGATTCATTAAGAAGCAACTTTCTAAAGTAGTTTAGAGACAAAGCAGAACCCAATATGTCCCTTTAAAAGTGCAGATTTGCAGCATATAGAAAGTTTTATCTCTCTCACACACACCCAGAACCCTCATACACACTGGAAATTGCTCTTTTATTGTCTCTGTAGAGAGTGTCTGATCAGAGCAAACTTGTGTGTGATCCTAGTTCTTTTCTTAATCTGGAAAGAAATTCTGAGGAACCAATCCATTCAGAGAGGCTGCTATTTTCACCACGATTATTAGCTCTACTGTTTCAAAGCGGTCTTCAGTTCACCTTTGCTTCCCTAGAAATCATATACAGTTAGAATTTAATTGCCATTGTGCATCTAAAAGCTTAAATGTTTACCATAAATTATCATGATCAGAAATGCAATAACCAGGGGTTTTTTCCCTAATTCGTTCATCATATGTGTGACTTTGATCCTCTCAATTTGTCATTCATAATTCCTCGGCCACCTGCCCCTCCCCAATACCATGTTTTAGTCATTTACTAATAATTGTTTTTATTGGAAACAATTGGGTCATAAGCCTGGATAACACAGCTCCAGAACAAACCTAAATGCGTTCCTTTCCACACTGGTGTTGAATGCCTTTCTTTGACTAAAGAGTTGATATGTATTTTGGAGATACAGTATGATAAATATGCCTGCATTCTGCAATTTATCTAGCAAGCTCAGAAAGATGGGTAGTAGTCTTTTACTGTGACCTTGTTAAAGTCTTTGTAATTGTGGACATTGGGACCTCATTACTTGGGTTCAGAAAAGCCATCTCTTGCTTCTTAAGAACAGAAAAAGAAAGTACTGAAGTGGGTGAGTTAGAAGGTCCAAAAAAATCTTTTCTTCAAACTAAAATCCAAATACTGCTTTAAGAACAACAGTTTCTTTGCTGACATCAGACTTGTTTGCTACAAGATGGGTAGCAAATAAATTAGATAGATAGATAGATAGATAGATAGATAGATAGATAGATAGATAG